AAAATCAAACCCCCCCCCCCCCCCCTTTTTTTTTTTTTTTTTGTAACTTGTATATAAACTAAATTTATATATATATATATATATTAGCTCTTTATATATATATATTATATCGAGTTTGTAACTATATAGAAAGCTATGCTATAATGTACTCGTATATATCTCTGCTATATGCCTGTAATCATTGTAAACGCCTCTATAAAACCCATAGCAAAAAGGAAGAAAGAAAAATCCCTCGATAAAATATCGTACGCTTTATGCATGTGCTTAGATCTAAGTCTATATATATATATAGTCTATATATATATATATATCTATTATCTATAGTGTAAGTGATATTTGTTTTGTTAACAATTAATTTTCTCTACCTTTCAAACTATCAAATGTATATTAGAATTGCTTAAATGAAAAAAAAAGAAAAGAAAAAGAAAACTTTGTTAAAAACCTAACGAGAAGCGAAATTCAAATTGCAAATGAAAATGATTTAGAGAGTTCAACAACGAGCTACCAATAATTTGTTATATCAAAAAAAAAAAAAAAATGTAATAATTACACAATTTGTTAATTAATTTAAGTTCAACGTTTTGCTTTGATATATAAATATTTAATTTTATAAATATACAAATACAACAAACAAATATATATATTTTGAAATTAAAAAAACTAAAATTTTGTGCTAAAGCCAATGTATATACATATATATATTCATATAAAGTTGTCCGATTTTGTGCCTGAAATGTAAGTTTTTTTTTTTTATAGTGCTTTATAGCTTTCATATGGACGACAGACTATATATATATAGTGCTTCGATATTACACACATATTGTTAAATGGATGAAATGAGAATAGAGCGAGTGTACTTAAGTATTTCAGCGCATTTCACACAGGGTATTTTTGAGAGTTCTTGACAAATATAAAACTAAAAAAAAAATAAAGCAGAGTATAGAAATAATGCTCAGTCAATATTTGAACAGCTCGAGAGAGATCTTATATAACTCTCTATATATTTATGTTAAAATTAGCCCCAAAATCTATAGGCATGAGGAGAATATCCCTCGATTTCAAGGAAGCATTCATCTAGATCTCGAGTCCTTTGAGTCTGATTACTTTGCTGGGGACACAAAACACTTGTGGGAATACCTAGGAGTATATTCAAATCCATATGGAGCAATGCTTTGATCTGAATTGTACAAGTTTTGCGTTACTCGGAAAACTACAAAATAAATTTGAAAAAAAAAAATAATTAAAATTTTAAATGTAAATTGAATGATATGTGAGAGCTTACATAATTCTCTGTATATTTATGTTAAAATTAGCTCCAAAATCTTGAGGCTTGAACATGAGGAGAATATCCCTCGATTGCAAAGAAGCATTCATCTAGATCTCGAGTCCTTTGAGTCTGATTACTTTGCTGGGAATACAAAGATTTGCGGGAATACCTAGGGAGTATATTGAAATTGGCAATACTTTTTGAACCAATCTCGTGCACATATATAGCTTTAACCCATGCAACTATATACGTATATATATTACTATGAGCATATATACAGACACTTACTGGATCTTTGGTCGGGCCCAACACTTGGCGTTGTAAAGCAAACTTCCCGTGTTTGTACAGCGTGCGATTTGCTAATTGTTAATTTTGCTCGATTCGAACATTTTTGTTGTTGTTTTTTTAGCGTTAAGTGTCTTAGTTGTTGTTCCATCCTACTCTACGCGCCCTGGGCATATCGGCTGCTGTGACTAGGCGAGCCTAAATGTAAGTTACGCCTCAGTCAATTAGCATACATATAATTGTCATGAATGTAGCCATTAATGTGGGAATACATACATATACATACATATATCATATATTGATGTAGAAATATATACACCACGTAATGCGTGTATCCATCCACAGATGTTTACTGCATGTGCTAAGTTTTAAATTTGGATTTCGCATCGTCCGTCGTGAACTTGATGCAACCAAATTAACCCATTTACGAATTTACACTTTTCTTTACGGATTTTCGGACTTTCACTATGAATGAAATGTGCCATTATAACTTGGGAATTTGTGGTGATTGAATGGGGATTGATTTCGATTTTGCATAGGTAGAGATGTTAAAGAGAGAGAGAGAGAGACTCGATAGATATAGTAGTATCAAGTCAGCTTGATATAGATTAGATGTAAATATAGATATAGCTAAATATATGAAGTGGACTTTGCAGAACAGATATATGGATATTAATATATAACTAGACTATATACATATATACTAGACCATATAACATATTCAATAAACAGAAGTTATATTCTATATAAAGGAGTTATATACAGGCGTTATAGAGATTAGACTCTGTCAACTACATAGATATGTAGAGTCGAGCACCCATAGATCTATCCATCCATAGATCTATCTATAGATCTATCCATAGATCTATCTATAGATCTATCCATAGATCTATCTATAGATCTATCCATAGATCTATCTATAGATGTATCCATAGATCTATCTATAGATCTATCCAAATATATTTTGAAATTAGATCTATCCATAGATCTATCTATAGATCCATCCATAGATCTATCTATATAGATATGAACATATATAAAAACAGCCATGTACTCTATAATCTCTGTAGATTCAGACTAGACACTAGGATCTAAAATGTAGATCCTACGTGAATTGAAGGGATATATTTTTCATTTATATCTAGCATAGTTCTTAGGTTTTTGCTATAGATCGAATATTGAAAATGACTCTACTATATATAATAATTATTAAGTACAGCTTAAGAGAAATATTTTCTCAGTTTCATGATTCTCATTCTCAATTCAAGCTAAATTCATGAATTAATGGAAAATCGATCGGAAAAATTGCACGCTTATAGGTGCAACTATTCCTAGGAGCTCCTGAGTTGTCCTACAGGGTCAATTGACTTATACGTGAGCTTGTGGGAATCGAATCTTGGATGGATAAACAAACATATCGTAATTTGTAATTTGTTTTTGAGAATATGTTTTTAAGGGAGTTTGTAAATTGTTCAATTTTCTATGTATGAAGAGTCCATTCTACGAAAACTGAACAACTAAAGAAGTTTTTTTTTCGTAGATTGGAATAACTAAAGGAGTTTAATTTTCTTAAATTGGACTCTTTGGATTTAAGCTGGGTAGAATTTGAAATCCTTTACTTCATTAGAGTAAGAAGAGTTTTCAGAATAGCATCAAGAACAGATGACGAAAAGAGAATGCAGAAATAATAAATAAATAAATAATTCTTTTAAAGAAATTTGTTATATTATTTTTAGTTGAGAAAAAATTTCAAAGAATTAAAGAAAAAATAAATCAGAAAAGTTGTTTGAGGACTTCAATATATATGTTACAATAAAATAACATTTTAAAGATTTTATGTGTAATATTGTCTGAGTCACATTTCAGTTAGGGTTAGTTTCATGCCAAAAGCTTTATAGGGCAAACACCAAACAACCCTTAAGTTAACTTAAGTTGGCCTAGCCTAAGCCAAAAGCTTATTTCTATTTTGATTTCTTTGAATTCCAGTGTAAGCAATCCTTCAGCCAAAGCTTTTCACAGCAGCAAAAAAGCTTAAAAGCTGCGCCGCGCGACTTAAGCTCTAGTTGTGTAAGCTGCGCTTTCGTTTAGGGTATCTCTTTGTCAGCACGCGTGCTGGCTAGCTGACTACCTGGCTAGCCGGTTGACAGCTTGGCTAATAGCTTGGCTAACTGGTTGGCTAGCTGGTTCAAAGAACAAACGGTCCGAGGACTTTGAATGTATTTATTTGCTTGTTTGCTTTAAAAAACATACAAGTAAAAAAAAAAAAAAAAACAATAATAATAATAATAATTTAATAAAAAAAAAAAAAACAAATACCAACCAAAACACTCGAAATGCCATAGAGCAAATGCAGCTCATTTATTATTGAATACAGCTTTTTAGTTGCTGCTGCTGCTGCTGCTGACGTGGGCAGCGGAAGCTGCAGCTTGAAGAAAGCTCACAGGCCACAGCGCAGTCGCAGTTGCAGTCGCTGCCGCTGCTGCCGCTGCTGGCGCTGCCCTCTGCCCACGGCCAGTGTCGCCGGCAACAGGTTCAACCCCTAAAAAAGCTTTTTTTTTTTGCCATACAGGCACAGTTATGTGGCTGACAAAGCTGTTGTCGAGGATGCCAGCAGCGTTGCTGACGCCGCTGCCGACGTCGCTGGCGGCGCTATTCAGCGCAACGAACGGCCGCGGCGTCAGGCGAACAGCATTTGGCCAAAAACAAAACGCAGAGCGAAAAGGCAGCGAAAAAAAAAAAAAAAAAAAACAACACACACACACAAAATACAAAACAAAAATGAAAAAACGGTTTTAGTGCGCTGTTGTCGTCGTTGCGGTTGGCGCGTTGCGTTAAACAACATTCAACAAAATTTTCGGTTATTTTGGTTCGTTACATTTGATTTGGATTTTAGTTGTGTTTGCGTTCAAGTGTTGGACAATTGGCTGAAGGAGCAGCCTGTCGCGGTGTGGGTGTGCCAGTGTGTGGGTGTGTGTGAGTGAAGCGGCAAATGAACGTCAGCAAAATATGACCTAATTCTTGTGCAGCCTTTTACTTTAGTCAGGACAACAACCCAAAACTAACAGCAAAAAAGAGCAAAAATTCACGAAAGAGAGGAAGAGGAAGAGGCAACGGCAGACATCAAGCAAAAGTTAACTGTATTAGAAGCTATTTATAGACTAACGGCGCGCGCGTTTGACTGGCTTCTCTATTTAATTGGCCTTCCGCGATTGCGACAGAGCAACACCACCACCCATCCACCCGCCTACCCGCCTGCCCGCCCACCCCGTTGCACAAGCGTTGCGTGCAACATGGAACAGCTGTGCTACATCGCGCTCAGCTGCCTGCTGGCCATTGTCTTGCTGTACGGCCTGCTGGAGCTGCACTACTTCCTGCGCATGTGCCTCTGTGTGCTGCTGGCGCGTTTCATCAAGCGACGCTGCCACATCCTGGAGACGACCAGCGTGAATGGTAAGTGAGCGCGGCAGAGAGAGAGAGAGAGAGAGAGAGGGGATAGGCAGCAGCAATCCCACACAGCCGATTTCATCATGCTCCCACACCCGTTTCAGGCCTCTGCTTGAGCAACGATGTGGACACGCTGCTTTACCACATGAATAACGCGCGATATTTTCGGGAATTGGATTTCGCACGCGTCGATTTCTATGAGCGCACGCAGCTCTATAGCACGATCCGGCGCTTGGGCGGTTCGGTGTTTCAGGGCGCGGCGACCATACGCTACCGTCGCTTCATACGACCCTTTCAGCGCTTCATCATCGAGTCCAGGGTAACGAGGGGGAGAGGGCGAGAGGGAGAGCGTGAAATTTGTGCTAATTCAATTCTCCTGCTTGCAGATCATCTACTGGGACGAGCAGTCGCTGTTCATGGAGCATCGGTTCTTGCGGCCCTCGGATCAGTTTGTCCACTGCATCGCCATCTGCCGGCAGCGGGTGATCGATGTGCCCATGGACACGGTGATGGCCGAGCTGCTGGCCAAGACGCCGCTGCAGGCGTCGCGGCACACGCTCAGCTCCACCGCCAGCCTGCAGCCGGTGGGCATGGGCAGTGGCACGCCCATGCCGCAAACGGCCCTGGAGGCGGGCCAGGCGGAGAACGGCCATGTGGCCACAGCCGGCGGCACGCCAGCGCCGGCCGCAGCGACAGCGACTACGGCGTACAGCATCAAGATGAAGCCGCCGCTGCCGCCGGAGCTGTGCAAGTGGATTGAGTACAATGAGATGTCCAGCAAGAATTTACGCAGCGGCTGCTGACCATAGAGGGGGGCAGTGGAAGGAGAGCAGCAGCAGGAGCAGCAGCAGCAGCAGGAGCAGGAGCAGCAGGAGACAGCAAATGGATATAGATGAACTAGAAATACTCTACGTTCCGCCTACAAATATTGTTATATTATGTTTTTTTTTTTTTTATATAATTATTATTATTATTATTATTTTTTTTTTTTTTATAGTTTTTCTATATGCGTGTGCGTGTGTGTGTGTGTGAGCTATATGTGAAATTGTAAACTGTATGTTGTGAATGTTGACTTTATAGCTCTAAGTCGAACTCTGTGTCTGTGCCTGTGGTGGTGCTCGTGCACGGTGGTGCTCTGCTTGGCCTAGCCACAGCAGCAGCATCGAGTCGAGCACCCACAGCTAATAGCCCACAATTAACTGTTAATATAGGGGGGTTAATATAAATGCTACATAGATACATAGCTAATCCACTTGCATTTCTTTGCCCGTACAGTGGGGCAGTGGGACAGTAGGGAGGGGCAGTGTTGGAAAATCAACGAAAACTGCACGAAATTCCAGAGCTGGTGAAAGGAACCCATTGAGCTGGAAACCAAATTCATTTGTAACTCGTGCCACTCCAAAAGAGATGTATAGAAAAAAACAGTGTTGGTAAGCGCTGAAATGCAGACTTAACAAGCGCAACCTTTAACAATAAGCAGTCTAACACATGGCATAGGCTATATTCGAGTAGAATATTCTATATGCAATGCAGCGAAAAAACAGTGTTGGTAAGCAGTGCAAAGAGGAAGGTAGTTATTGCTAAGATGCATGAACATGCATGACCTTTTAGTTCAAAGACATTAATACTTTATTATCCATCTATTGTATATATTAACAAAACAGTGTTGGTAAACGCAGCTGTTATATAGTTGCCTGCGGTAAGAGCTTTACTGTGCCTGGGGATGCACATTCGTTTCTAAGCCCATGTCCGACATTTTGTTAGTTCCGACACATAACAGTGTTGTTAAGTGCTGATTAGTGTTGAAAAGTGCTCGCTAGTTGTCTGTTTAGCCAACGTGTGGATGCATGTACACTCTACCATACGGTGCTAGAGAGCCCAAGTCTAACTCTAGTGGAAAATAAGCTTCAATTGAACTACTACAACGATGCAGTTTAGTGTTGAGCAAACACTTGGCCCTGTTTGGTTAGCAAATAGGAAACGAAACAAGCGATACTTTAAGTAGAAAAAAAGTAGTGAATAATATATACATATTTTTATTTTTTTATGACTCACTTGTTGAATATTTATGCTATGCACAGTGACTAGAATCAATAGCTTAGCAATTATATTGGTGGGTGGGGCTATTTGAATCAAACAAATAGTCATCGAGTCTAACTAATTATAATGATTCTCGAAAAACGATTGAAAATAAATGGCCAAGGAAAAAGCGTAACCAAATGAGTTAAAGATAGATGCTTAGCAAATTTGATTGTTTGCCTGACCTCAGATCAATTGCAATTAATTTGTTGAGTTAATGGCGAAATTCGCGTTCTGGGAACGTGCTAAGTGTTCGCAACGTGTTCCTCGGTGCTCAATGCTCACTGATCTTTGCGACTGTCAACAAGGTGAGCAAACTGCGAATGCTCAAAGTGCAGTTGCAGCACGTGACGTCAAGTTGGCCAGGAACCGCTCTGAAGTGATCTCTGTTCGACAAGTGTTAAATCAATTTGGCCTATTGCATGCGTCACGAATGCGGAGTGAAAATTGCTCCGACGGCATGCGATACCACTGCATGTGCGATGACTCAGCAATTTTTTCAGATTCATTGAAAGTGCTTGCATATCTTAAAGCTGAACAAAAAATTAGTTATAGTCATTATTTCGCACCTATCTTATCTTTAACTTTTGTAGTCTGATATAGTATATACTTATATAGTATTTATATTTATTGCTTAAATACTCAACTTTGACACCAAGTGCTTAGTTTTTTGTAAGTTTGTACAGTGTATTTTAATTATCATTCTATTTTAATTATCATTTGAACCTGAACACACGTTAGCTAAGCATATATGCACATACATATACATATATGTACATTGACAGAGCTGTGGACTTTAGGCGCTCTTGTTGTTGCTCGTTTTTTGAAGTATCCGCTTTAGCTTGTGCTCTTGCTAAAGGAGCGTAGAAAAGCTTTTGCCCTAGCTCTTACTCATTTGCACCCATAGAGACGACAGCTTTCACACTCAAAGTTCTTAGATTGCGGCTTCTCTCTCTCTCTCTAACTCCCGCTTTCAATCGCATCATTAAGCTTTTCTGCTTTGTCCTTTGCACTTGAAATTTCATTAACTTGAGCTTTAACATATGCAGGCCTCGGTAGTAAGCGCACTCTTTCTCGCCCACATTTCAATCACATTGCTGTCTGCCATTTATTTGATTGGTCAATGATCTTTTGTGTTGCTCTTTCGGCGCATATGAAAGCTTTCATGCTCACTCGCAATCCCATCAAGGCGCTCTCTCGGTTTGTCCTTTAGTTTATACATATTTGCTTGTGTTGCAGACACAGGGTTGCATTCACAAGTAAGCAGAATAGACAGTTGCCTGGGGCCCACGAAAAATGTAAGAAAGAGTCCATTAACTTGCATAAAGAAGCGAACGGACGTGATACAACGGGCCCCGCAATTGATGTTGGCGCAGGGCTTCGTTGGAATTAATCCAGCCCTGTGCAGACCTCTGACTTACTCACACTCTCACTCTCACTTAACGCTCTTCAGCTGCGATTGGTCAATGATCTTTCGTTTTGCTTTGCAGCCACTTTCGCACTGATTGTTTGGCATTTAATTAACAGCTTAGCTTAGAATGCACTCTAAGCGGGCGATCGTGCGCTCGTGCGCTCTCTTCTGCTTGCTGCTCTCTTCAGCTTTGCATTCTTACTCTCATTGTTAGGCGCTCCAACTGTTGCTCTCCCGCTGCGATTGGTCAACTTTCTTTCGTTTGTCTTTTGCAGCCGTTCCGCCACTTGAGCAGCTTTTTGTTTTGATATCTTCGTATTAGTTGCGCTCGGTCGCTTGCCGCCAGCAGTTGTGGATCGCCTGCGCTAGCCGTTGACACTGCGTGCCTCAGTCTCAAAATTATCGACACTATCATAGCTTTTCGATTATCGCGCGTAAATAGAATTGAGTAAGTAGCCAGGCAGACATACATATGTACATACATACAGACGTTCATACATATGTATCGATCGATACTTTTGCATATTCATGAAAAGCAAATGGATTCGCCCTCCCAATGCAGCGCACAGCAAACACAAATCCAAAGTTTAATGTGAAACTTTCGCCACTAACAAGTTTATTTCTTTCGCCTTCGTTTTTGTTTTTGTTTTCGTGCCTGTTGTGGATGCAGGAACCATGTCGCTGCTCGTGGTGTTGCTCATTTTGTACATCATTTGGGATGTTAACTACTTCATACGCTGCATCTTCACGGTGCTCGCCGGCCGGCTCTTCCAGGGCAAGCGCAAGGTGACGGACACCACAACCATCTACGGGCTGTGCACCTCGCAGGACGTGGACATCTTTCTGCGCCACATGAACAATGCGCGCTATCTGCGCGAACTGGACTTTGCCCGCTTCCACTTCTATGCGCTGACCAATCTCTACGAGCTGGTGCGTCAGCGCGGCGGCGGCGCCGTCCAGGGGGCCAGCAGCGTGCGCTATCGTCGCACCATTCCCATCTTCCATCCATACAAGATCCAGACGAGGCTCGTCTGGTGGGACGACAAGGCCATCTATCTGGAGCAACAGTTCATCACGCTGGCCGACGGCTTCGTTCGGGCCGTCGCCCTCTCCAAGCAGTGCATCACCAAGTGCAATGTCAACGAGCTGCTCAAGACCTATCCCGAGGCGGCCAAGCGGCCAGAGATGCCGGCGGATCTCAAGCTCTGGTTGGATGCCATCGAGGTGTCTAGCCAAAAGCTGCGCAAAGACAAATGAGCTCCAATTGGGGCGGTCCAATTGGAATGAACTGCATCCGATTTTGTTTACGTATAGTTAAGTCTCTTCTTCGCCTTCCTCTTTCTTTCCCATCAATGTTTTTTTTATCACTCTTTAGGCTTAGTTTCTTTTGCTTTCCTCTTTTCTTCAACGGTTCGTTTGCATAAATAAAATGAAATATTTTTGTATGAGGCTAAAAAACTGGTTGTCTTTCTTTATTGGGGCAACAATGGTCTTACGTAACGTAACTTAATTTTGTATAACGTAATGTGATGTAAGCAACGGGTTTAATAGTTATATATGAGAATTTAAAATATGTGTTTAACATAAGTAACGTAACTACGTAACTATGTAACGTAGCGATGCCTAACTACGTAACGTAGCGAAACGTAACTACGTAACGTAGCGAAACGTAACTACGTAATGTAGCGAAACGTAACTACGTAACGTAGCGAAACGTAACTACGTAACGTATCGAAACCTAACTACGTAACGAAGCGAAACGTAACTACGTAACGTAGCGAAACGTAACTACGTAACGTAGCGAAACGTAACTACGTAACGTAGCGAAACGTAACTACGTAACGTAGCGAAACGTAACTACGTAA